AAAGCTCAAAAAGGATTGATTTTTCATTCGTTTATCAGGATATTCATACACAGTAGATGTAGAATCATTTAATTAAGAAACTTTGAAAGGTATACAAGTATTTGTGAATTTGTTGTATTCTTTTATATTCAGCAGTATGCTGGCTACTTGGGAGAAGAGAAGGAGGACTGTAGTTTGAGCCCAGCCTGGGAAAAAAGCTTGCAAGACATCTCAACCAATAAGAAACTGGGTGGTGTCATGTTGAATGCTGTCATTGCAACACACACAAAGCATAAATAGGATTGATATGCAAGCCAGATGGGCATAAACTCTAGACCCTACTTGAAAAATAATGAAAGCAAAAGTTCTGGAGGCATGGCTGGGTTGATAGAGTACCTGCTAAGCAAATACAAGCCTCTAAGATCAAATCCTAGAACTGAAAAAAAAAAACACCTAAAACAAAAACAAACAACAATAACAACAAAAACTCTGCTAGTAAATTCATACACCAGAGAATCTACAGGAAAGCTTTCTGTGGACTTATGATTTCTTATAGTAGTTTTTTCATCCTCTCCCCTTCCTGATGTATCTTGTTAGAAATGAGCTTCATATCTAATTAGGTTCTTTTGTGTTCTTTTTTGGAAAATGCACTCGGACTTCAAGTTTTGTTTGTTTGCTTTGTTTTATGTTTACAGCATTCACTTACTTAGCACAAGAAAGATAAAACCAAAGTCAAAACAAAACCATAGTACAAAAGCCCCAACTAAGTTGGAAAGAGTCTAAGGAAAGTAGAAAATTAAACCACTTAAATAAAAGATAAAAACTACCGCAGCTAAGTATTAACAATATTGTAATGACAAGATGATTTTGCTTGAACAAAATCTCAAATGCTTCATACTTCTCTGTGGCTATGGCAGAAAAGCAAAATTATTGTTAAATAGGAATGGGGAATCTAATTTTTACAACTTCAACTGAACATCTGGTCACCCAGCACTCTGAATAGTCTACAGGAAACTGTACATTTACAATGAGACTCATTAGCATAATACTTAATATATTAATTAGAATAACTGCATGAATACCTTTCTGTATGAAGTTTATAGGACATTTGTCACCTGGAATTAGAAATCTGTCTAAAGTTGCAATAACTTTTTGATTTACAATTTGAGAATATTTTATCCTCAAATCCCTGGGCTGTATTTTTTCCTGAAAAGTTTGAGTTTGAATTATTTGCAACATTTCAGAATGTGACCGTAAAAAATAGATACCATGCATGCATCAATGTGCCTTTTTCTACAACCTAAAAGACAACCTAAAAATAAAATTTAACAGTCTTTAATTTGAAATGTGGAATCTGATTCTATGTGTTCTTTATTACCTCCATATATTTATCTAAGTGAAATATAAAATGGTTGTAATAATGGAAAATTTAAAGTAGCTTTTGTACATGGATAGTAATGCTAACTAATCTGGTGAATTAAGGCTGAATGTAAATTCTCAGAACCTCTGTTTCTTGTGATATCATTGTTAAAGGCGGCATACCTTGGTGAGATGATGCAAACTTCATGTTACCCTAATTAAGCTATGGCAAACTTTAGTAGAATGGGAAATAATATGTCATAATCACTGAAATGTAACTCAAAGCCCCATATATTTATTTAGTTTTCCAACTTCAATTCAACATACATTAGATCCCCAAACCTGTGAAAATAGAAAAACAAATATTTTGTCTGCTGTAATTATGCCCTGGGATTCTCATGTATGCATTCAGAGATAAGCTAGGCATAGCATAAATCAGTATAATCTAGTATCTGGAGAGCTCCTGTGGATCTGATTCATGTATTCTTGAACATAGCCTCTGTTCTGCATTTCACTTGCATCTTGGCTTAAGTCTCCAATTTCATTGCAGTTAGCCTATCTCAATGGCCATATTCCTGCCTAAAACTCCAGCTCACTTTTCTCACTTTCAACATGCCAGCTCACTTTTCTCCCTTTTATTAGACATACTTCCTCATAAAACAGAACTGGTCCTGAACCTGTGCTGCTGAGGAATTTCTCAGCCTCTTCTTGATTTATGTGATCAAATCCCAAGCATGTTTTGGAATAAACTCCACAACATTTATTCATCCATACTCAGCAAATCCTTACGTCATTCTACATTGCTAAAAATACCCAGAATGTGTCTCTCCTTTTTTCTCTGCCCTCTGTTACTCATCCATGAAAATGCCACCTTCTCATTTAAACCTTGGATACTTGAAACAAAATTAGCTGTTACAGTGTAGTGTGTAACCACTATGCTTCACACATATCCCTTGTTGGTAATTAGCTTTTATTATTACTTTTTGTGTCTACAATCTTAAAACATCCTTCCTTTTAGAAGCCAAAAATAATTGTATTTTTATTTGTATAATTTAGGGTATAACACAGTAGCATGTGGAAGTGAATGCTCTCATTAAACATTTGTTAAATGAGTAAAAAATCCCAGAAGTTTTAGAGAAAAAACAACACAAAAATGTTCTGTTGGCTGGCTATAGAAAAATAATTTCAAACAGTCAGAACACATGTCTTAGGATCATATTATACAGATCAATATTTTATTTTATTTTATTTGTGCCAGTCCTGAGGCCTGAACTCAGGACCTGGCACTGTCCCTGACCTATTCCTTTGCTCCAGGCTAGTGTTATACAAGCTCCAGTTCCGGCTTTCTTAATTGGTAACCAAAGGTATGTCTTGCAGACTTTCCTGCTTCTTCAGGCTTTGAACTACAATCCTCAGATCTCAGCCTCCTGAGTAGCTAGGATTATAAATGTCAGCTCTTGTATAATGATGTCATTATTACAGAATGATGACTCAGTAGGAAAACATTTTTAGTTTCACAAGCTTTCAGCCAGTATATAAACTTGTAATGGTGTATTTGTTATACAGGTAGATAATTGCATAATTAATATTTTTTTCCTGTACACAGGTTCTCAGATCTACTCCATCAACACTTACATATGCTCCTTCTAACCAGCTATCATTATTTCTATCTATTCACAAACATGAAATCAAGCTATAAAAATACTAAAAAGATTCTAAGGAAAAGAATAAGTTTTTTTTTCTTTTTTTTCTTTTTTTATCTTGTAGGTCATGGGGCTTGAACTCAGAGTTTGGGCATTGTCCTTGAGCTCTTTTGCATAAGGCTTGTGATCTACTACTTTGAGCAACAGCACCACTTCTGGTTTTCTGATGGTTAAATGGAGAAAAGAATCTCATGGACTTTCCTTCCAGGAATGGCTTTGAACCTCAGTCCTCAGATCTCAGCCTCCTAAGTAGCCAGGATTATAGGCATGAGCCACCAGCAGCTGGCTAAAATAAGTACTTATGATACCACAATCCTTTGAAACATAAAACTTACATTGATCTTCAGATTACTGGCCTGAATTATGCCTTCTACAAGAAAGACCTGTAAATATTTTATAAGCAAATAAAATATATAAGTCTAAAAGTTAATTGAATATGTCTACATACATAATACTACTTTTATATATGCTTATAAATTAAAACAGCATTAATAAAAAGCACTGTATTGGGCTCATATCATTTCACAAACCAAAAATATTATTTTATTAAGTAGTAACACCTTTGCAAAATGTCTTTTAATTGCTAAAATGTGTAACACCCTAAATATGACAGACTGATAACAATATCTATAAGTCAAATAATAAGTACACATGAAAAACATTCTAATACTATAATAAAAGTTTCTGACTATATATGAAAATATTTTGTACAGCTCTATCTACATTTTCTTTTAATTAGTGGTATGATACCTTATTAGAATTGTATATGTTTTAAAATTGTATTTTACATAAATTGAATTTTTTAATCCATTACTAGATTATATAAAATCTATTCAGCTTCAATAAAGCTATATTAAATGATCAAAAATTGAATTAGTTGGTATGAAGAGACAAATATGTGATCATGTTTTATAGGAGAAAAATGTACACCAAACTTTAAGCTTAAATACTGAAGTCTCTGGGTACATTGGCTCACCCTTTTAATCCAAGCTACTCCGAAGGCTGAGATCTGAAGATCATGGTTTGAAGCCAGCTGGGAAAAAAGTCAGTGAGACTCATTTTCAATGAACTGCCAATAATATGGAACTGGTACTGTGGCTCAAGTGGTAGGTTGTTTAACTTGAGCAGAAAAGCTCAGGGACAAGGCTCCTGACCTGTGTTCAAGCCCTAAGCCTGACTCACTCTCTCTCTCTCTCTCTCTCTCTCTCTCTCTCTCTCTCTCTCTCACACAAATACAATTAAAACAGAATCCTTTTAAATTTTTCTTTGCAAATTTTGTTTATATTGATATTATTACAGCTTACCTTGTTCTTTCGTGCTGTGTGCTAATTTCTTAAAAAATCATTTATAAGAAGGAAGTCACTATATTTAAAATTATTTTATATTCTTCTTATATTCTTAAATTATGGCAATTTTAACTTACTAAATATTAGCTTTATAGATGACCACTTTTCCTTTTTAATATGCCATCCAATCATATTTTTAATCAACACATAGCTGTGTACAAACATTTAGCATATTTAAGCCTTTTGTCTTTTTTTCCCATGAAGAGCTTAGAATATGTTTTTTCTTAAATCTTTTTTAGGATTAGTGTAGCTAGTTCTATAATCAAGTTGTTTAAGACACAAGAATCATATGTACAAAAACCATTTTAAAAACTGAGATCAACTAAGAAATTGAGAAGTCAAAGATACACTTGAATCTACCAAACAAGCATATCCCTAAAATTTCCTTGCAGAGTACATGCAAACACATCCTAGAATTTATTTAGAGACTACCATATGCTTTGATGCCACCATTTGAACTTTGGAAATTATGTGATCATCCAACTATATTTTGGGCGTTTCATGTCTTCAGACCTTTCCTGTTACTTCTTCAAGACAGAGTCAGGACATTTTTAATAAAATATCCCTCTGTTACCGATAATCGTTTGAGCTGCTCCTTTCTTTCCTTTTTCAGAATGAAGAACAAGTTTTGGTACTTTGAATTTGGCACATCTGAAACATTCTCAGCAACCTGCAAGAAGCTACATGAATCAGTAGAAATAGAAGTAAGAAAATGAGTCTGCTTTTACAATTGTATGATGTGGTTGTTATTATGTTGATGGTACTGTCTGTGTAATGACATACACACAAACTCTAAAACATCATTTCTAACAGTCACAGAACATGTAGAGTTATAAAGTTAAGTGGGGGTATGAGTTATTTAATGTAGAAGAAAAGCATACACGGATGATGTCAGACAAAAGAAAACATTGGATAAATCCAAAAAGAGTTACAAGATACACATTAACAAAAAACCTTCTTAAGGTCTCATATCTCATAACCTTTAAAACACAGCTCACTAAAACTATACTTATTTTCAGGAATAAAACTTAAAGTATACACTTTCTAATTCCATTCCCTTTCATTAACTAGTTTTTCTCAGTTCCCAAGGTTGCCATTTCACAGGTACATATATAGGAAGTGAAAATTGCCAACAAAGCAAGCAAAGGTAATAAATAAAGACATTTAAAAAAGACTTGAAGCAGACAGGCCTACAAAAATTTTGGACATATAGAATTAAAGGGGCTGGCATAATGAAATATTTTAATGATTAAAACAATGTAAAAGTTACATGTTTAGTAAATTGATAAACAAAAATCAAAGGAACCAAATTATGAAGCATGGGTAGCTAACAATTCACTGATATGATCAAGAAATATTGACATGAATGGATAGTGATATAAATTTTAAAATATATGCTTTGACACTTTTCTTTGTAAAAGTAAGTGTACAAATTGTATAGAAAAGTCATTAGTGGTAGGCCTGGGAAGGTGGCTCAGTGGTAGCGCCTTGCATGCATGAGGCCCTAGGTTCGATTCCTCAGCACCGCATAAGCAGAAAAAGCCAGAAGAGGCACTGTGGCTCAAGTGGTAGAGCGCTAGCCTTGAGCTGAAGAGCTGAGAGAGAGCGCCCAGGCCCAGAGTTCAGGCCCCACAACTGGCAAAAAAAAAAAAAAAAAAGTCATTAGTGGAAGATATTAAGGTAATAATTTGGTAAGCAAAGCAGTTATGGTCAACATAGGTTTATAATAGCTTTGTAAGGCTCCTGATATCCTATGTTTTAATTTATTGTTATTAATCATAATGCTCAGATTGATATTAGTCAAAGTAATCATTTTGTGCTTTTAACTCATTGTGATAGGAAATGAACACTAGAAGTAGACTGGACGATTATGGAATGGGGAGATCTTTCATAAATGAATTAGATCATTACATAGGAAAGAAATATGATCACAGAAGGTGAAACATGGGAGTTCAACATGAACTTTCTATGATTTTTGTTCATGATGATATATCTATTCATGTATATTACATATTGATATAATCATGAATAACATCTCATATTAATTATAATATATTTAAATAATATGCAATATAGGAATGTATATAGTTATATCTCTTACATATTTTTAAACATTTACTTAAAGCTGGGCACCGGTAGCTCACGCCTGTAATCCTAGCTACTCATGAGGCTGAGATCTGAGGATCATGGTTCAAAGCCAGCCGGGGCAAGAAAGTCTGTGAAATTCTTGTCTCCAATAAACCACCAGAAAACTGGAAGTGGTGCTGTAGCTAAAGTGGTAGAGTGCTAGCCTTGAGCTGAAGAGCTGAGGGACAGCGCTCAGGCCCAGAGTTCAAGTCCCATGAATGACAAAAAAATTATATATTGTCATATATAGTTATTTAACTACAGTTTTAACCTTTAAAATTATTGTTTTGGTGAGTGAGTGTGTGTGTGTGTGTGTGTGTGTGTGTGTGTGTGTGTGTGTGGTTGGTGTATATGTATATACTGGGACTGGGACTGGAACTGGAATTCAGGGCCTGGTGTGGTTCCTTAGCTTTTTCACCAAAGGTTGATACTTAACCACTTGAGCCACAACTCCACTGTTGGCTTTTTGGTGGTTATTGGAGATAAAAGCCTTGTAGACTTTCCTTCCCCAGCTAACTTTGGCTTAGAACTCTTTTTCTCAGATATCAGCCTCCTAATTGGCTAAGATTGTAGGCATGAGTCAGAAAGCATCACCTGCCTCAAAATAAAACTACTTCGTAAAGATTTGGGGCATTTCTTATTCTCAGAAACCTATGCTCAAAGAACATCTGTAAAAGAAGCCAAAATTTAAAATATATGGAGAGAGATAACTTGGGGTGACTATAGCTAGAAATGTTAAATGCCCTTGCAGCTCCCCTTCTGTTAGTCTATCCGTAAATACAGGCTGAAAAGCTATCAGTACAAATTTAAAAAAAAATCTTCAGGAAAGTGTGATACTATGTAGAAAGAGTATTTTATGAATGAAAACATATAGGAAACATTGGATAGTGTTTGTGGGATTTTTATCTTCCTTAATGGTGATAAAATGAGTTGTTTTTTTCTACACAGCTTTACATTTGATAAAATGACTACTTAGGATGTTCTCTAAGAAAAATGAATGAGAACTAAGTTCTTTTGAGTCATATTTCTACATATTTTCAACGTCTGGCTTTCTGGTTCTTCATTGCTGATTTTTTCTGGGAACAAGAGCAACAGCAGTTGTAATGGAGTCAGCCTTGTGCACTCTCCTCATTATCTTATTGAATATCTTGAAGTATATGTGTGTGTGTGTGCGTGCGCGTGTGCGTATGCGTGTGTGCATGCACACACATGAACACAAGTCTGGCAATGCAATCCTTCTCTGCTCACATTTTAATGAATCTAGTCTATCATATTAGTAGAATATGCCTTTCTACCCTCAAGGTTACTTTATAATTAAATATAACAAAAACAGTAATTCGGAAATTTGATTCTGTTTGCTATTGCTTCCTATGTGGCCTAACGTCATACCAACTAGGTTTGAAAAATATATAATAGGGAATAAACCATGTTAGTAACAGCAGAACCTCGAGCAATGAATGTGTGCTTTATTGGTGGCTTTCTTTAAAACGAGCCACTTTCTGTTTATCTTTTTATTTCATACTCCTCCTTTCTATAGGGATCTCTTTCCCAAGGGAGCATGGGTTTGGGATGAAATAAACATCATGGGATAGTAGTTCACAACAATATTAGCAAAGATTTTCCTGTTTACTTCGTGAGTGATAGAAAGCAGTGTGAATGCACTAATGTCATCTTCATCAAAACACGGTGAATGAGAGAGATACTGTTAAATTTCCATTGTGAGTTAAACCTTTTCTTTAATGGGATAAGAGGAGAAAAAAGAATTATATTTTTGCCAAAATGTTTAAATGTAAAGAAACACATCAACTAGAAATTTATATAAAATATAAATATGTGTAGAAAGAAAGATAACAATTTACAACAAATCATTTAAAACTATATATACAAAGAAAAATGATTTACACAGTAAACATTTTAATTAAAAAATCTTAATTATCATCGAACTTTATTGTGGCACATTAAAAGTAGATAAAAAGGCTTTACTATTACAAGAAAACATTTGAAAACAAAGTTTATGTTAAAATATTTTGGAAGAAGGATGTATGGCTGTTTAACACCTAGCTGGGTGCTGGTAGCTTATTCTTGTAATCCTAGCTACTCACAAGGCAGAGATAGAATCTACAGGTTCAAATCTAGCCCAGGAAGAATAGTCTTTGAGATTCCATCTTCAATTAATCAAAAAAATGCAGGCTGAAGGCATGGCTTAAGTAGCAGTGTACCAGCTGTGAGCAAGCAAGCCAAAAAGAGGGCATGAGTTCAAACCCAGTAACTCAGTACTGGCCAAAAATGGAAAAAATAAAAAATAATAAAAAGAATCGCAGGTCAGCATCTTTGAAGGAAGCAAAAGGTCACCATCCTTCTTGTTAGTATTGAAGTTAATTTGTGAAATGAGAAAGCCTTACTGTAGTTCTTAAAATCTTTTTGCTGTCAGCAAGACCAGAAAAGGTGATAAATTTAAACATCAAGAATTTTCATTCCAAGTGGAACAAGAAAACTTAATGAGACTGGTTTGAGAAGGGGGAGGGAGGAGGAGGGACAATGGCAAAGGGGTGATTATGACCAGAAACCTTGTATGCATAAATGGATTTATTAAAATGAAATCCCTTGTATAATTAATTGATGTAAATTTTTAAAAGAATAAAGTAATTACTTCTAAGGAGGGGCAAAAATAAAAGAATTTTCATCCTTGAATGTAGAGATTCATCCAAACAATTAAATGCTTCTACAAACCTAACTGATTTCAAGAATGAGTAAGTAACAAGAACAGAATCAAAGACACAAAATCAGTGATGAAAATTTGAAAGATGTGATTTTTTTTTAATCACCCAGTAACCTGGGAACCAGAATTCTTAAAGGTAATGGGGCTATTTCTCACCATTAGTCCCTGCCCACCTGAGCCAATATTAAGATTACCAATAAAAAGGTGTTTTATGTTTCATTAAGTAAAGTTATGAATAATTTTTATCTGACTTAACAGAGGAGCCAACTCATTATGGAAAAAAATTACAACTGATCATTAATTGTATCTCATCAGATAACCCAAATGTATTTAAACGTCTCCAAAGGTTCTACAATAAGATTGATAATACATTACGAGAAAAAATATATATATATACATATACAAGCTTTCTTTTAGGTAAATTGGTTTGGGGAATACAATCTTCTATTTTAAAACTTTACAAAAAGTAGCAAGCGGCATTCTCTGTGATTGTACCCATAGTATTATATATTAATGACTTTTTCAGCATAATAAAAATATTCAGGAGCTATTGGAACTAAGGCTGTTAGCTTTTAAGCTTTTATATGCTATTCTTCTATAACTACCTTTTGAAAAATCATAAATCCTCCCATTATATGAGAATATTATCTGACACAGTATGATCACTTGTTTATATTTCATAACCTTCACCCCAGATTTCATTTTCATCAACTCAACTGGTGGCTCTATTCTTGTCCCCACCAGTACTAGCACTGAAACTTTCCAGACCAGTGAACATAACAATAAATCAAACAGGAAGGTGGCCTGAGGTCACAACTAGTGGAAACAAACCATTAATAAATAGCTATTTATTTAAGTTCATGGTCCGGCTTTCAAAGGAACATCAGTGTTCTTTATCAGTCCTGGTTCTTGGCAGTTTCCTGAGATTTTTTTTTTTTTCACTTCTTGGAGAGTTTCTTACTGTGTTCTACACTTGACATGACTCTGAACCTGGAAACATGAGTTCACTGGTGATTTTCATTGTCACCCATATCAACACTAGTTCAATTAAAAAGAAAATAAAAAGCCTATTTGCACTTCTGCTCTCCTTTTCTGCAGAGGAACAAAGGAATCTTCCTTTACTAATTCTGAAAGTAACTTGTCACAGTGGGGTTCTAAGGCCTAGTCAAATAATTGTCTTAGTGGACTACCTGCTGTGTTCAATATTGAGTGAAAATGGAAGCCAGGCCCCAACTCCAGGCTTATTTCACAATTCTTCTGTTATTTAAATGATTTTAGTCAGTTTGGGGGAAGCCAGACCTTTATAAATTAACAGCAGGGAAATACCAAAGGTGTCAGATTGCATATTTATCATCTTTTTCGTGTAATACTTAAATATGTATTAAGAAGTGACTGACATAAATTAGGCAGATTTCAGAAGCCACAGGCCGTGGCTTGTAGAGGACCCCCTTCTGCTTGACATTTCATCCTTGTCAAAGATCAAATTATTTTAATTTAGGCTGCAAATTATAAGGAATGAAGACTTCTTTGTGGGAATTCCCTGTGGTAATCTGACTTTTGTTGTTACTGCTGCTTGTCAGTGTGCAAAAGATATAATATGCATGCAAATAAGGTTAAAAAATATGTACTATCTAATTATCCAGCCAGTACATTCCACTTGAAGACAGTGGGAGGCCTGACACACAGTATGTGTTTGATTCATTGAGGCCTGCAGGGTATTTACACAAGATTACTTTTAATTATGAAATTAATATCTGTTTATCTAGAATATATAGTGGTAAGTGAGTATACACATGAGCAGAATTTTTCAGTAAAAAGAAATCTTAATACATGAAAAGGAAGAAAAATCACTTGTTTCTGGGGAAAAAAATAAATACATCATCCAGTGCTTGGTTTCACCCTCATTGAAGCAAATTGAAAGAAAAGTTGGCTCTTTTTCTCAAATTTGTTTCTACCCCTGCCAAGTAGGCTCAAGATGTGTTGCTTTAACCACAGTTTTAATTTTTCTTTTTTGATGAACAAATCATAATGCTAATTCAGAATGATGAGGGGAATGTAGAAAAAAAGAGATGGTTTGGGTTGTTTTGCTATTATTTTGGCCGAGCCTTGCTTTGTCCTAAGCCTAAAAGTCTGATTTCTGTATAAAGTGATGATGTTATTATTCATAATTAATAGTCATAAGACATGCCCACTAACACAACCCCAATGCTTCAATTTGTGAAATACTTAATCCTAACAAATCTATTTCCTAGACAATGAGCTATAAGTGTCTCTCTCTTCATACTGATACATCATGAAAAATAGGATAATTTCTAGAATAAATTAGTAATAATCATTTTAAAATACCCAATGAATAAATACATATTCAACAGCCATGTATAAAATACCCATGATTCATACCAACTATCAGGAGGCTGAGATCTGAGGATCGCCATTCAAAGCCAGCCCATGCACATCTTATCTGCAATTAACCACCAGAAAAGCAGAAGTGGAGGTCTAGCTCAAGTGGTAGAGAGCTAATCTTGAGAGAAAAAGATAAAAGATATCACCCAAGCCCTGAAATCAAGCCCCCGTAATAGTACACACATTTAAAAAAAAGTACAAAATAGCATTGCTAAGTCACTTTCCACATATCCATAAGCAAACATGAACCGAAAATTTAAAATTTTAAACATGATCACTCTGGCTGCAGCAAAGCACTGTGTGTTAGTAAGTTATTTATTTCAAATTCAGTAAAGTATTTTGACATTAGACCAAAACAAAACAAAAAAACTTTTCTCAAAGTCTTTATTACAGCAATGATAGAGTAGAGTAAGCTTGGGATGGATAATCTTTTTCAATGACACTCTCCTCATTTCTTTCAATTCATTGTAAGACTATGCTTACCTTGCTCTGGATATCCTTCTTAGAACTTTGTCTAGACTCCAAAACCATTCTTAGCCACTCCAATGTGATTGAGAACGTGTAGACTTGACATTTTGTACTTTGGCGTTCCTTGTCACAAGTCTTTCAAGCCACTGTTGCTTTCCCCAAAAGAAAAGGGAAACCATGACTCATGAATTCAATTTCTTTACTTTCTCCTAATAGTTCCTTGCAGTAAGTTCTAAACAGTCAACAGTTATTAAAATTTCTGCCTGAAATTTTACCACACATCACAGTTTCAACCTTCCCATAACATAGTGGAATGTAGTAGGCACTAATGTATGTCTCTCTCTTGAAGGTTTTTCTGTAAACAAAGATAGTGATTTAATTTTGATCATTATCGAAAGATGATTAATGATTGTTTTATCTTTTGTGTTGACATTTAAGGTAAACATTTCAAGTGTCCTTGAAAGCTCTTTTAGAAATGATAAGATTACAAATGTGAAGGTTCTTATTAAAAACTAAGGAAATCAAAGGGAAGGAACCAAAGAAAGACAAAACAACCTAAAATTTCTGTATTATCTTTATTTTCTTTTTACTGATCAGTGTGACGGAGTCCAGATAGATTTAATAAACATCTCTCTGGAAGGAATAGCTATTTTGAATATACCGAGCATGCATGGAGGCTCCAATCTTTGGGGAGAGTCAAAGAAAAGAAGAAGCCATCGGAGAATAGAAAAGAAAGGGTCTGACAAAAGGCCCACCCTCACAGATGCCAAAGAGTTAAAGTTTGCAAGTCAAGGTAAGGTTCTTCACAATTCACTGCACGAATTGCTTAAGAATCTGCTTTTCAATGCTATCTAGAAAAGGAAAAAAAAATCTCTTCTTGCACTGTTAAAATGAGCATTATGCAGCTGTGTTTTCTCATATTACCAGATACAATGTGGTACATTTATATCATAGAAGATTCTGAAATCATATATGTTTTTATCACTTTTACCTAAAGTAGGAAGGTGTTTGAATAGCTCACAACAAGCTTTGATTCTCTACTGTTGTTCCTCTTGCAAGTTAATATCAGAGAACAAAGAACTTGTAGATACAAGAGCTACGGGAAAGTTTCTCAGTACTTTGTAATATAGTTCATATTGGTGTTACACCTAATTCTTGGTAAATTGTATAATAAAAATATTAAAACAATGATCGTTCCCATGATTTATGTATTTGAAGCTGAAATATTGCTTTACCTTTTAGAATTTGTCAATACCATTGATAGTATTTTGAAATTAGAAACCATAATGTTTAAGCTCTGTTTGGTAAAGACAAAATATGAAGAAGTCACTCAGCATAAGTAAACAGAAATGTGAATTAACCGAAAAAAAATAGAAATGTAGAAAATATGAAGATAGTCAATGAACCTGATGATGGGAAACAATAGGTCTCTACTTTGTGTAATAGATTCAAATTTCAGCAGAGGACAAGGACTTTGCTTATATGGACTTTGGTATAAATAAGACTGACAAAAATAAGTGTTAGGTATTACACATAGAAAAGCTTATTACAATCTTCTGATTACAAGTGGTTTACTCAGAATAGCTATACTCAGAAAGCAATCCAACTGTATAAAAAGATAGCATTCTGAGGGAGAAATATATAGACAAATATTATGTTTATCTTCTATAAAATATTGAGAAATAAATATGATTATTCATAAGTTATTGATATTAATATGGAATTTGTAATTAAATATCAATTTAAGTGTATGATTAATAAATTTCTAAGTTCCTTTTGATCATACTAAAACCAAACTCAAGAACTTTATATATACACATATATAATATATACATGATATATATATATGGTACATATCTACACACCCACACTCATTGCTTCTTGCATTAGAAATACTTTTACTATAAAAAACCTGAAATAATACATACAAAGAAAATGCTTTGCAGCTTTTTCTGTTTCATTTTGCTTTGTTTTGTTTTTTGCCAGTCGTGAGGCTTGAACTCATGGCTTGGGCACTGTTCCAGAGTTCTTCTGCTCAAGGCTGGTGCTCTACCACTTTGAGCCACATCACCACTTCCAGTTTTGGGGTGATGGAGATAAGATATTTGGAGATAAGAATATTAAGGCCTTTCCTCATATCTCAGCCCCTTGAGTAGCTACAACTATAGACATGAGCCAACAGCACCTGGGATGCAGGCTTTATGTTATATATATGTGTATATAATTTAATTTTATTATTTCATATTATATTTATATGATATGTATTATATTACAATCTACTAACACTGGGCATGTTATTCATGAGGACACAGTCCTTGGAAGCTCAGCTGACAACTACTATTTCAACTGTTGATTTTTCTAAAATACCTACAGCATGTTTCTTTATGCCACACCTACATGAATATCTGTATAAATATATTCACTTACCTATATAAACAGATAAACCCTGTAAGAGTCATACTGCTTTCTTGGCTTCCCTCCTGTTTAAAATGCCCAGTTGAAATAAATCATACCATAACTATTCTCACAGACTTTCATAGGAAAAGCTCTCTTTTTCCTTCTGTCTTTGCTCTCTACTGTGGGTCTTAGAGCCAACTTTCATGCATCCTGAGAGAGGAGAAAGTGGGAAGATACAAGTTATAATTCAGGAATATGTTTCTTTTTTATTTTATTTCATTGTAAAGGTGATGTACAGAGGCTTTAAAATTACATAAGTAGGGTAATAAGTACATTTCTTTTCAAATAGTGTTGCCCCTCCCTCATTTTCTCCTGCCTTCCTTCCCATCAACTCCCCTCCTGCCCCCAAATTGTAAATTTCATTTCCAACATAGTGTCTAGTGAGAATTGCTGTTGCATTGGTTCATCCGTTGTCCCACCATTTCTGATTCCCCTCCCTTTCCCAAATCTGATAAACACATATAAGACAAAGGGTACCGAAATCAGAAACAGTGACCATGGGGAATAAACCAGAGGGGGAAAAAAAAGAAATAACTGCAAACAGCATGTTTCTTTATGCACTTTATGAAGTGTGTGTATGAGCAATAACAAAAGCATGCTTACGCTTGATTGCACTCAACTTATTTTCTAAACTTTAGGGGGTTTGGAATGACTGCTTATTTTCTAAACTTTAGGGGGAAAGAAACTATAGATGGAGGTAAACAAAGCATAACTAAGTATATGTGGGAGATATAAATTATTATTATTATTATGTTGTTGTTGTTGTTATTTTAGTGTGTTTGAAATCAGAGCCTGAGTGCTCTTCCTTAGGAATTTTTGCTCAAGGCTGGCACTTTACTACTAAGCCACAGCTCCACTTCTGGCTTTTTTTAGTGGTTAAGTGGAGATAAGAATCACATGGACCTCCCTGCCCAGGCTGGCTTTGAAATATAATCCTCAGATCTCAGCCTCCAGAATAGCTAGCATTAAAGATATGAGCCATCAGCACCTAGTCAAAAATTGTTTTGATATAAAACTTTACAGTTTTCCTTTACCTAAATATATGCCATAGACTAAAGGTACTGAACCTGGTATATTAAATCTGCAATATATTAATACATGGACTGACAGCCTGCAAATTACTTGTTTGTAATCTTTGGGAGCACTCATATAAGAGTATTTTTAATTGATGCATTGGTTGGAAATTATATTGTCAATTCAGGGTTGAATAAAATGATAAGTAATTTTATCATTCCATTGAAATATATTATGGTATCTAGATGCAATTGAAACATATTCATACTCACATTCCTCTAATGCAGTATATATTTTCTTTGTGTGTGTTTATAAATATAAATGAGTATATTATATATAAGCAGCATAGTCTTTAGGAAGAGCTATAAAGTAATCCTTGATTTTTCAATGCTTCCAGCCTGAATATTCAGTCTCCTACAGTTGCTGAGTTCATCATCATCACCTCTTCTTTTAAATTAACCTGAGAAAGGTGTCTAATAAATGCATTAACATTAATATATAAATGACTGATTGCAGATAAAAGTGGTGGGTATTTGCATTTAAAAAGAACTAAGGGCCTTCAGTTAAAACATTATTTTTTATATGGTGTTCTACTGAGGTATAACTGCAATTCTTCAGCACTTCTGTAAAATCTGTTGCCATGTTTTGGAGCATATATGTATATATTTAATCTTTAATAAAAATACACTAAACTCTTTGACATAGTAGCTATTTTCAATTTATTTAGTTGATGCTACAAGACAAAGGTGACTTTTTCTTGCATTCCTTGGTTTTCTAAGTTAGATGAATTAATGAATGCGTAACTAGAAACACATGCCCACATATAAACATTTACAGACACACACATACACACACACACACACACATAAACACAATAAATAACTGAGACCTTGTTTGAAAAGTTTACAGTTCTGCTATGGTTATTTAAAAGAGGATCCCTTTGCATAATTTTAAAGAGGATAATTGTATAAATGGATACATGAACTTCATACCTCATGTGAGCCATGCAACTTAAACACCAGAAAATTCAAATACTTTTATTTGGCAAAGAACCAAACACAGCAATATGTGATAGTACAACAAAATGAGAACAAACAAACACACATGTGTATATGTAGATATGTATGTAAGTATATAAGTAAATATGTATATATGCATATATATAGGAATCTTGCCAGATACTTGTCGTGTATGTGGGGAGGGGAGAGGGGTTGAACTTAGAATGTTGAGCCAGCATAGCTTGCTTAGCTAGCACTGTATCACTGATCCACAACTCCAGCTCCACCTTTTTCCTGGTTGGGTGGAGATAGAACCTTGTAGACTTTTTCTTTTTACTGCAGCTGACTTGGAATCATGATCCTCTGGATCACAGCCTCCTTAGTAGCTTGGATTACTGATATGAGCCACCTGGCTGACAATACCAATGAAGATCACTTTTTAATAGCAATTTTTCTTATAAAGAAACCCTATATTATTTAACTATCTTCAAAAAGTAATAGTCCTGTCCTATCTTATATACCAAGCACATATTTTGTTGTAGATGATTTGATTCAAATTTATTCATATCTGCAGCTTACAAGTCAGATATAAGATTGAGATTTTCAGTTCTGTATGAAGTAAAATATAAATCTGTGTAACTTAACCTTGGTGAATTTCTGAAAGAGGCAGCTAATAATATCACAAATTTGTATGGACAAAATGTTAGAACAATGTTAAAAAAGGAATCTTTGTAAAATATTATCTAAACAAAGAATAAAGACCACTTAAGAATATAAGCTATTTCTTCTAATTAATTACATTTTGAAAAGATAAATTGATGTAGGTCACTTTCCATTACAAAGCAGGATAGCCACATTAGATAGAAGAAAGTCATATTGCTTAGTATATGTCTGTATCAGTATGGGCCTAATAGAACTCAACTGAAAAGCAAAGTGACAGATACTGTTACTACCTTCAGCGATATACCTTTATTGTTCTTCTAGATTGAATATACTGGAAATGTTGGCCATATGAACTTATGAAATGTATTTGTGTAAATAAATTCTGATTTCCTCTATTAGTTACAAGTCCTTGAAATATTGTCTTATTTGGGGAAAAGCAAGTCTATTACTGCTTTTTTTCAGAAGTTTGACAACTACCGATTCAGAGTAATTACATTCAAACCATAGAGTTTCAAGCAGTTGCCAGAAGTTAAGGGAAATGGTGCCAGGAGCAGCTGGACTTCCTGCTTGAAACCTCATTAAATAGGTGCCTGTCTACCCTGCACATTGATACAGCTAGCCAGGTACTTGTCATAGGAAAGTTTATCTTAAAAACGAATTA